TCCTTACGGCTTCGTTATGACAGAATTCCTGTCGAAAACGCTCAGATTAGGTCACACTCGCGGACCGATCCATTAGTCGACCTTCAAGGACCAACGGACGGTCGCAACCAACCCGACTGTGAAAGAGCACCCGCTTGTTTTCTGACGTATCGCCCCGTAATACGGATAAAGAATTGAACCCGGTAGTACCTGCTCTGAAGCCAATCGGGAAGCGCAAATTCAGAAAAGACGTCAGCGAATCGATGGCCTCGTTCGAGTCACCAACAAAGAAGACGCGAATGCCGTAGGTGATGCACGGTTCTCCTGTACATCGTTATCAGAAAAACGAGAGAGTCAACAGCAAGTTATGCCAGAGATTGCTTACCTATCGAATTGTCTGGGCATTGAAAGGTTGTACTGAAAACTGTTATTTCAGTTCTCTTTGTGTCGTAGCTCATAAGAATTGCCATTTCGACAGCATTGGGTAATGCGTTACTTACAAATTTTGATGTCGTGATGCTTATTCTTGTAAACTGGTGGTGCAACCAAACAATTTCACAAGTTAATATAGTGTGTCGCGTGCCTAGAATCAACGGTTATGTAACGAGCTGGTCGTTTTGATAGAAACCTAGAATGCGCATTAGCTGCACGGTGTAAACTTTACGACACATGATGTGGTAAATTATATACAAAAGAGACGTGTTAGATTAAACGTCTCAGGATGACATTTACTTGAATACATTGTATCACATGTTAAGTATCAGTCACGGTCTACTGACGGTATAGTAAAGCTATACTGCAATTCGAGCAAAAACGAATTTTACATGATACTGCAAATTGGCCGAATGGGGAACGTTGTATGTGCTTCCAATATTGGAATTACAATTAAGATAAACTCAAATTTCCATTTTTGATAAATATATTGAGTTTTGTGCCTACGGTTCAACTAAAAGTTTGGCGATGGCCGTGTTTTTATCCTTACGGTGATTAGGAATGGACGATCCTTTGGAATTGGTTTAGGTCATTGTCGCTACGTATTGCACAATTCACGTATTGCTAAACGATCCCCACGGACCAGGGGAAACCGAACACCGCACGGTGCTTCAAGATCGTCACCAAGAGATAGAGGGTATTCCTAATGGGCTTGCGGAATACAACCCCCAATATGTACAACGCCATTGCTATCGAGTGAAACGTGTGCTTCTCCCCACTTCTTTGATAGCCCTGCTGTTCGAGCGTGATAACTAGATCAGACGGAAACGCTTCCGGTCTTGCCGACGGTTCTCAGTTGGCATATGGACTGCAACCCTAGAACGTACGGTTGTCTAGACGCGGCACGTGTACACATCCTCCCGGAACGTTATCATCTGGCAGAAGGACATTACTCGGTCAAATTGTGTCGGAAGGCAGCGGACTCGCAAGCGAAAGACTTCTTACTGACAAGGTGTACAGTGAATCAGAGCTGATGCCGATGGACGAGAAAAATGCCTTTGCAGTCCCTTATACAGCTGTCTCAGAAACTCTCAAACTGAAGGCTGTCAAACCGCTTGGGCCTGCGTGCCATAGTATAGAACTCTGTTGGGTATGTACTTATCAAGTGAAGTGTCGACAATTGAGTTGACCGATAGCATGGTGCTACTTACTACTAAGGAACTTTTATTGACTTCTGGGTAATGCCTAGAAAGTCCCTACTTCTGAACAAAGTACTGACTTCTGAGTAAATGAGGAGATGCATCCATGCACGTTCTGCTTTTTGAGGAACTTAAAATAAATGAATGGAGTGATTCTCATAGCTCGTTAAAAGACTGATTTGAAAGAAGGTATCCCCTCTTTCAGATTAGTTTAGAATGTAGTAATAAATCACTCTGGAAATGAAAAAGGCCAACAATTTAGGGAACATGAATGAATAGAAAAATGACGTGGCGAAGAAATGAATAATTTTTTAAAATTATTTCAGAAGGAGATGTTTCTTTCCAATGTAAGGGATAAGTCAGGTATTCGAAAATAAAACCTCGTACATATGATAAATTTATTTTTAAATGTTGTTTATAGAGGAAATAAATCCGCATTAGGCCGACAGGTGTCACTCAATCACTCGCTTGCAACAAACCTACTCCTGCCTCATGACCAAGACGACCAAGCAGACCAACCTTCTTCTGCTCGTGACTACGTCGACTAAGGAACCCACGCTGCTTGTATCACTCCTGCGATGCCCAAGGAGTCTGTGCCCGTGTTGCCAGTGACTGTGACGATCAAGGAGACGACTGAGGGGAGCGTGCCCGTACTAAATGTTCCGCTTGTGGCTTTGACGTCGTACCAGTGTAGTCCGTGGCTGTATTCGTGCTGCCCGTGACTGCGGTACCAGTGTAGTCCGTCGCTGTATTCGTGCTGCCCGTGACTGCGGCGGTGGAAGAGACGACCAACCATGGAGAATAGCAAGACACTTGCCATGTCTGGAGTCATTCCACAGAGCCCAGGCAGACGTCTATCGAAGTACCCTGAATAGTTAAATGAGCAGCAAGCGTCTTGCTGTTGAGTGGCTGCTCCAAGACATTAA